AAACTTTCAAACATATTTAATTATATACTATTATTGAACTCTGTTATTGGATTTTCAGGAAACTATACCAGATATTTTACAATCTTATTCGCTCGCAACGCAACATGACAAAGATTGGTATAAGGCATGGCATGCTTGGGCTCTTGCTAACTTCGAAGTAATATCTCATTATGAAAAGCTTATCGGCACAGACAATGATTCTCAAGAAGAACAAAATATTTGTGATATACTTGATGAAGACACTGCAGATATTTACCAAGAGATATTGCGTTATGTTGTTCCTTCCGTTCAAGGTATAGTTTTTGATAATTACGCCGATATTAATTGGTAATGTTTATCAACTCGGATCTATTTTTAAATTATTGTAGGCTTCTTTAGATCCATCGCTCTCTCTAGAGGGAATTGTTTACAAGATACCTTGCGATTGCTTACTTTATGGTTTAAATATGGTTCTCATGAGGAAGTTAGTAAAGCCATTAAACAGGGATTTGGAAGTGTTAATATTGATACTTGGCTTGAAGTCATTCCGCAGGTTAGTTTGCACTTTCGGTTCATTAAATGTACAAATTTGCTAAAAGGATATTTAATATGTCACAGCTGATTGCACGTATTCATGCACAAGATGTTAATGTGCGTGAGCTAATACATCAATTGCTTTCCGATGTTGGCAAAGAACATCCACAAGCGTTAATATATCCGTTAACAGTTGCTTCTAAGTCTCAGAGTGTTTTTAGACAAATTGCAGCATCAGCTGTGATGGATAAACTGCGGTCTCACAGCCCGGTTCTTGTCGAACAAGTAAGCATTCAATTATTATACTCGAGATTTATAATAAACCATTTAATTTAACCTAATTATATTATAATATTATAATATTATCAGGCTTTGTTAGTAAGCCAAGAACTTATCCGTGTCGCCATTTTATGGCATGAAATATGGATGGAGAACTTGGAAGAAGCATCAAGATTATACTTTATTGATCGCAATTTCGAAGCTATGTTCCAAATTTTGGACGAATTACAAGAACGTCTTGATCGTGGGCCTGAAACTTTACGAGAGGTTGCGTTTGTTCAAGCATACGGTCGAGAACTTCAGGAGGCTGGAGGATGGTGCAAAAAATATAAGCAAACCGGTGATATGACGTTCCTAGTACAGGCATGGCAGATTTATCATGAAGTAAGTGATACGCATACATATTGTTATTATTATAGTTTCTATTCATTTAACTTAATATTTTATAAATCAGTTGTTCAAAAAAATAACCGCACAAGTTGGAACAATTACTTCGCTAGACTTCCAATATGTCTCCCCAAAATTACTTGCTGCGCGTGATTTAGAATTGGCAGTACCAGGTAAATAATAGCTGTTTATATAATCATTTTAAATATCATTAACACATTTAAAAACTTTCAGGAACATACAAGAGCGGAGAACCTGTGACAAAAATTACCAGCTTTGTGCCAACAGTGAACATTATTACTTCGAAGCAACGGCCACGAAAATTAAACTTAACTGGTAGTGATGGTAAAGAATATCAATTTTTATTAAAAGGTAATTATATTAATAATCCTTTAATTGCAATAAAACAAAAGATATACTATATATTAATTTTATTTTGAATTTTGTAGGGCATGAAGATTTACGTCAAGATGAACGTGTAATGCAATTATTCGGTTTGGTCAACACTCTTCTCTCTATCGACCCTGAAACTTTTAAACGTCATTTGCATATTCAAAGATATACAGTCACCCCCCTTACACCAAATATTGGTCTTCTTGGATGGGTTCCAAATTGTGATACACTCCATGCTCTTATTCGTGATTATCGTGAGAGCAAAAAGATTCTGCTGAATATTGAACATCGATTGATGTTGCAGGTTCGTCTCACTAATAATTTTGGTTTCCAAGTTCTTCACTAAAATTGTTGAACAATCACAAACCGTAATTTAGATGGCCCCTGATTATGATCAACTAACAATAATCGAGAAAGTCGAAGTTTTCGAATTTGCATTGGCCAATACAACAGGACAAGATTTGTACAAAGTGCTTTGGCTTAAGAGCAAAAATTCCGAAGCTTGGCTAGAACGAAGAACCAATTATACTCGGTCTTTAGCTCTTATGTCCATGGTGGGATATATTCTTGGACTTGGTGATAGACATCCGTCAAATATTATGCTAGATCGTTACACGGGGAAAATAGTTCACATCGATTTTGGTGACTGTTTTGAGGTGGGATTTTGTTAAAAAAAAAAAAAAAAAAACTAATTTACTAATTTATTGTCGTATTTTAATCAGGTTGCGATGACGCGTGAGAAGTATCCAGAAAAAATTCCATTCCGATTGACGCGAATGTTAACGAACGCGATGGAAGTGAGTGGTATTGAAGGCAATTTCCGCACCACCTGTGAAGCAGTTATGAACGTTTTACGGAAAAATAAAGAAAGTCTCATGGCAGTCCTAGAAGCTTTTGTCCATGATCCTCTAATAAATTGGAGGATCATGGCAAATCCAAGTCCACGGCAAGGTATAATTTTTTTCTTATCTATTTATTGCCTTGCAGTTATATATGAGACTTTTAAATCATAAATTTAAATCTAATAACAATAGATGGTGAAAATCTCAATGCAATGGGCACAAGTAATCGTCGTGCGCGCGATATTATAAATCGCATCTCAAATAAATTAACAGGTTTGTGTTTGTATTTATTTCTATGCGCCATTTTTGGGAATAAGTTTTTTATTTTATATTTACAATAGGTAAGGATTTCAATCCTAACCAAGAATTGGATATCCCATCACAAGTTGAAAGATTAATACAACAAGCAAGGTCTGTGGAAAACTTATGTCAATGCTATATTGGGTGGTAAGTCATGTGATTTTTAATTTGTAATGTTTAAAAACAAAACAACTGCAATAATTATTCTCCTTCATAGGTGTGCATTCTGGTGATATAATTTCTGGAATATCTTAATTGGATATTTGGATAGACATTCTGTTATTTATCGGATGCTTATTCAGTTATTCGATTCTAATATAATTTATATTATGCATTTTATTACTTTATTGTGAAATTGGCTTAGTAAACAAATATACGTAATCGAACATT